TCCCTCGTATCCTCGAAAGATTCGTCAGCAGACTCTGCGGCGCGGCATGAACCTTCTCAAGGTGATTCCGCCAAATTCCACGCTGTTTCGAGCGTGGAGACGACACAAGTGGTCATCAAGTCGGTTGCCAGGCCTTCTGAAATGGCTAAGCGACGGAGAGTCAGCCAAGAAAACGGTGGCGACGTCGAGGAGCGGTCTTGTGGCGTTAAAGTTGCGGGACGATTGGCACCTCAAGTCGAAGATCCTAAAGTTGCTGGACGGAAGCGCCAGCGCAATGCCAAAGAAGGTGTAAGGAGAACAATGGAGAAAATAGTATGGAGTGGGAGGGCAATTGAGAAAAGTAAACTTGCTGAAGGGGATAAGAGTGATGGTAAAGCTGCAGAAACGGTGGAGAGGGATGATAAAGTTGCTACTCAAGTCGAGAGCTATTTGGTGAAAAAACAGAAGATGGGAGGTGAAAATCTGGAGTTGATCCCGATACAGCAAAGAGATAAGACGGAGGGGAAGCGGAGGATTGAGAGTGCAAATGATGATAACACAACTAAACGGCTACGGTTTGATACAGCGGACCGTGACGACGAACTGAGTGAGCTGCCGCCGAAGAGCCCGATGAAGAAGTTTCACAGGAAGCTCCGTACTGCTATGTTGGATGAGAGTCAGTACTGGATGGCGGTTGATAGATTTTCGCATTTGACTTGAGGTACTGGGCGAACACGAGTCTGGTTTTACAAGATATGTCGATGTGAATAATGGCGCGTTTTCACGAGTTCAATCTCGCAACAGTTATTTCTATGGAAACAGGTGAACGAAAGGAGCGACGGTGACTATTTGTTTGTTCATGGCTGGATTTTACGAGTGAATTTGACGTCCTACCAGGTAAGAATGCTCTATGACTCCAACATCTATTGATGAGCTGGAGTAGTTGTCGATTTCAGCGCTTCAAGATGAACTGAGAATCATTGTGAGTGCTGTACTACTGGCCAGTAAATCTGATTGCGAATATGTCCACCGTGCAGCAAGGCCTGCTGTTTTAGTGCCAGACCGCGTTTGCTTTAACGAAAAATGACATCTATCATCGCGGTACCCACGAAGGTCGTCTTATACTTAGTAATCATGCAATCAATTCCTGGACGACTTTTCTCTACCACCGTTCCGATGAAAATGAGAAGTGAGCTTTGTTTTGCAGCATCAAAAATTGTATCAATCTAGTACTGCTGATGTCAAAGACAATCTTTAGCACGCCTTACCCTCGGAGCCATCACGAGGGATGTACCAGCAGTGCTTCGTCGCCACACCCCCGATCGTCATATCTGCCCAGTTCTCCGTGAACTTCCACTTGCTGTCAGCTGTGTGGTATTGCAGCTTGAGCCAATCCTTCGACCCCTCCACAGAGAAGAAGCCGTACTCGTCGCCCGTGTACGCCCATTCCTTCTTGACGTACTGAGTCGCAAACGACGGAATGGTACTCGCGAATTCCTTCTTCGTACCTCCACCAGCACCATTCTCGACGAAATGGATGCGCAACGAATCCGAGTAGTCGTGCTTCTCTCCGTGGGTGTGGCCGTAAATGAAAGCGTGAATACCGGTACCATTCAGCGCATCGAGCCACTTGTGCATGCCGTCCTCTTTGTAGTGTTGGATCGGACTGAAGTGGCTGTTCACGATCTTCCACGTAGCAGTAGACGCCTTTGCCTGCTTGGTCAGCTGCGTGCGCGAGTCTTCTGCCCACTGCACGAACTTGGCCATACACGTATCGTACATGTCGTTGTCTCCACCACAGCAGTGCTTGTCTCCACGAGCGATGCTGCCGCACCCACCGTTGTCGTCTTTAGCGTACCCGTAGCACTGACAGCAGACGCCATGCGAGCCGGCGATGTCGGCATCGTTCATGTCGATGTTGAAGATGTCGATGCTCACTCCGGTTGCAGCGTCTTCAATACGGCGCACGTAGAAGCGGTCATCCAATGCCCAGCGATTGTCGTTAGGGCTCGTGTAGTCCGCCTGGTACCGGAACTTGTTCTCAAGCCCCTGGAGCATTTCGGCCGTGCTGTTGCATTGGACGAGCTGGTCACCGACGTTGCAGACGTAGTTGGCACCACCGTAGTCATGGTTACCCATGACGTTTACCCAGGGCACATTCTTGATGTTGTCACCGTTGTACCTGGACTCATAGGTCGTTTGGAAACGCGAGTCACGGCTCTCGAGACTGTCGATACCCGTCCAGTAGAAGCTGTCACCGTGTCCAAGGACAGCCTTGGGCTTCACGGCAGTACCGGCTTGGATATCCATAAGCTTTCCTACAATTTCCTGGGCGTGGAGGTCGAAGTTGTTGTATGTGCCACCACAGCAAGAGCTCATGTCCAGAGTTTGACCCCAGTCGCCAACAGCGTAGGCCGCAACGGAGTACTTTGCTGAAGCTGGGTCCACCGACGATCCAGAATTTGACGTCTGAAGAACTCCAGATACAGCACCAGGGTTGCTATTAGAACCACCCTTGGAGCTCTTAAGCCAACAGGTTCCTCCGTTGTAGTTTGTCCAGGTAAACGCACGACAACCGTTCGTCTTGGAGCATATCGAGCAGCACCCGTTCACTGAGGCACTGTGAGCGTTGCCAACGTCAGCACCTTGATAGTCGATATTGGTTTCCAGAGACGAGCAAGTCGCTGTCGATGCCGGAGTCGACGATTGAAGAACCCCC